TTGGCCATGACTTCTGACCTCAAGATTGAGGTCCTGCCCCCTCTCCTTGGTCTGTGAGTCACTGATAAGTCACCAAGAGTGCTGGGAGCTGCCCAACCTGGTGATGGGTACCCAGCTGAGTCAGCTCAACCAGCTTGCCCCTTGCCCTCTGCCCTTCTTCCCAGCAGGCTCCTCTGGGCCTGGCCCTGGTCCTTCCCAGCCTGGAGCTCGCCTCTGCTTCCTGGTCGCAGAGAAGCGCAGCCCTTCCAGACCGATGTCAGTGTTGTGGTGAAAGTAGGCTCCAGTCCATCCAAGGTGGAAGGAGACATGGCTGAGTGCTGGGGAGTCTGGTTCTAGCATAGGCAGGTCGTGTGGATGGTACTCAGGGGCATGTGGGTCAGAACTTCACAGTGGACCGTCTCGGGGGAAAGGCCTGTTTGTGGCCTTTGCTGATTTTGGTGGTGTAAATTGTCCCGTGCGCTCCTGATTTCGAATACTAATGTGATGTCAACCACTTGAAGACTTCGTGCAAATTTAACAATTGGCTCTTGCTGGCTAGCCAGAGCCCTTGGGAACACATTCCTCTAGTAAACGTGCTGTTCTAAAGGTAAACAGAGCAAAGGGGGCTCCAAGTTTACCTGTGATCCGTCAGCTTAGCCAGACACAAGGTGGAAATTCTTGTCGTGGTGGTGGGTGGGGGGCAAAAGAAAGGATTCTCCCCCAACCAGGAAAGTGGTATGTAGACTAGGGAGTGGAGGTAAGGGGTTCTGGCCCCCAGTGTGGACAAGCCCAGTGACGTTTCTGTAGGAGGACTGACTACCTTCCTCCCCAATGATTCACAGCCCAGACTGATGGATTATTTTTCCATGAGAACAGTGGGAGTCACTGAGAAAACGTGATTAGCCCTAAGAAATCCAGCGTACAGCCAACTTTTCTGAAGGAGGAAACTGTTGTGAACAAAACTTAGGAGAGTGCTCTAAGACATGAAAGGCAAACTCTGGAGCAAGCTGACTTAGAGATGAGCTGTAGCAGAAGAGAGTAGATCAGTAAGGGACGGGGGAGCAGCTGTAAGTGCAGCCTGGAAGATGCCTGAAAGTCTTAGTGGACCACAAGAGCTAACACTGCTTTCTATTCCAGGAAGACATCAGCCAGCACAAAGATACCTGACTCATATAATCGACACCTGGACCCTGGAAGTCCAGCATTCAAAGAGTCAAAGAGCTGGGGCTCTGCATTTAGAAAGTGTGGGAGTGAGGAAGGGTGTGGGGAAGAGGGGACCCCTAAGATCAGAGAAGGGAAGGCTGGGCAACAGGGCTTGCTCAGCCTCCACTTTATGGAGATGTCATGAGGACAGACAATGCTGCTATAAGGTGGAGAAAGCTCTATTCCCAAGTTTTAGGTGGGAGGTGGGTGTGGGCATGCGCAGACCACACAGGCCAGGGTTGGAGAGCCAGAAGATGAGAGGATTTGGCGTGCTTGACACTTGAGACTTCAGTGGAACCAGTGAGTATCCCAAGATGCCACACGCGGAAGGGAGCAGGGGCAGAGCTCTGCGGCCAGGACGGGGATGGGCAGAACTGGGGAGACCGTGAGGAGCCTGGGCAGAGGCAGAGGAAAATGGGAGGCCCAGGCTATGGGGGCTGGGCTGGGGTAGAGAGGGGGCTCTGGGTGGGACCTGGGATAGGGTTGGAGACATATGGGTTCCTAGGAGAGTTCAGGAGTGTGTTAGACCAGAGGAAGGACATCCCCAATGACGGAATACCAGCCAGTGAGCCGTGTCCTTGAGTATCTCCAGGGCAGCCAGGGACAAATGGTTCCAGAAAATCTTGCCTGCAGACGCACGGCCTAGTGTTGCTCAGCCGGCGCTCACACCTGAGCAGCCGTGGCTCCCGCACTTGTGACAGGCAGGGTGGAGGGCTGACCAGTCCTCTTCACCGACGGATAAACTGAGGCCCGGGGGGAGGAAGGAGCTCCCGTTTAGCTGCTCCTGTGAGTGCTCTGCGCGCTCCCGCGGCAGGGCCGCTGCTGTCCCCGGGGCGACCAGTGCGCTGGCCACTCCCCTCTGCAGCCCAGTGTTCACAAGAGGGGGGACAGGGCGCCTGGGTGGCTCAGTTGGTTAAGCGACTGCCTTCGGCCCAGGTCATGATCTTGGAGTCCCAGGATCGAGTCCCACATCAGGCTCCCTGCTCAGCAGGGAGTCTGCGTCTCCCTCTAACCTTCCTCCCTCTCATGCTCTCTCTCTACCATTCTCTTTCTCTCTCAATAAATAAAATCTTTTATTAAAAAAAAGGGGGGGACATTCAGATTTTCTTCCCCATTCTTTTAATTACAGTATTACTGTTTCCACCACTGCTAAGGGCATGGCTCAGTGGCATTAAATATGTGCAGACGTCCTGCCTTCGTCTGCAGACCTTTTCCATCTTCCTGAAGGACTGTGTCCCCGCCGAACCCTAACTCCTGGCCCTTCCCTGGCCCCTGGCACCCCCTCTTCCACTTCCTGGGGCTGTGGCTCTACAACCTCGGGGACTTCCTACCAGTGGAATCCTGCAGTATTTGTCCTTTTGCATCCGGCCCTTGTCACTGAGCACAGCGTCCTCCAGCTTCCCCCACCTTCCCCCACACTGGCAGGTGTCCGGCGCTTCATTCCTTCTTATGGCTGGGTAATAAGATAATATTCCTTTGGGCGGGTGAATGGGCCACACTGTGTTTATCTGTTCATCCACAGATGGACATTGGGCTGCGTCCACTTTGGGGCTCTGTGGGTCCTGCTGCTGTGAACGTGGGGTGTAGGACATGCTGGGGCAGGGGCTCAGGCACGAGGGCCACGTGTGTCCCAGCACCCTCTGCTGAGAGCCGTCAGCTGCTCCCCGCACCCCTGAGTGCCTGCCCCTGTGCCCACGAACTGGTTGGTCCCTGGAACAGCCTCCCCACCTCTCTCCCAGTGCGGTTCCCTGGAGCCCAGGTCAGTGTCACCTCCACAGAAAGCCCCCCCCTGTGGCTCCCCTTTGCCACAGCTCGAATCTGCCAGTCCCACCCAGCAGAGCCTTTGCTGGTGTCGTTCTGGGGGCTGGGATGACCTCCAACTTCACCCTTAAGACTCAGCCTGAGAGTGAGCACTGGAGTGAGCACTGTCCTGAGTTCCTGACACGATGGCCACCTTCCCCCGGCCCCCGGCCCCATCCCCTTCCTGGTTTGGCTTCCCCGGGACTTCATCATCCATCAGACTAAATGATTTCTTCCTATAGTTTATTCTGTCTTTCCTCCGGTGTCCCTGACACAAGGGCCAGGGTTGCTTTCGGTTTGCTCGCTGCTGTATCTCCAGCTGGTATGGCAGCGCCCAGCGCACGGCAGGCACTGGCAGATTGGGGTTGGGGATGAATGGATAGCCCACTGCCAACGTCTGCCCTGTCTGAAACGGCGTTGGTGGGCCCCTGCTTCGGGGGGAGTGTGGCCGGCCCAGCTCTGCAGCCCCATGCATCCTGCGCACCTCGCTGCAATTGTCGGTGGCCCTGAGATGGCGCCATGGCCACATGGCCGGCAGGGTTGTGTGCCCAGGTGATGAGGTGCCCAGCCAGCCCACCTGGCGTGGCTCCAGCATACAGTAGGCGCTCCATAAATCTTCTGTTGAAGGTCAGATCACACCAAGGTCCCCACTCTCTGGGAACCGGGGAGCCGGTCTCTAGGGCCTTGCTTAGGGCCCGTGCCAGGGTCTTCATTGGCTTCTCAGAATTTCCTGTGGTACCTGCCAGGTCCTAGCCACCCCATCTTGGGGACAGCGACATCTTAGGACATATGCCTGCCCCTTGGGTCACCTGGGCAGTGACCCAGGTGTCAGGAAAGGCTGTTACACAGAGGACACTGGGGAGGCAGCAGTCTGGAGCAGTTCGGCCCGGCAGAATCCTCCAGACTCCCCTCTACTCTTGTCCCTGACTCCTCACCATCGTCACCTGCTCTGCTGCCCAGCCCCGGGGAGATGCGTGCTGCCTGAGGATAGGACCTGTGTCTTACCCACCACTGCACTCCAGTGTCCAGCACAGGGCCTGGCATACAGCAGTTGCCGAATAAATGCTTACCAAATGAGCTGGGGAGGCCAACCACCGTAGTTGCAGGGAGGGAGTGGGTTGGGGGAGCCTGAGGCTAGCCATGGAGTATAGGGGTGACCCAGGATCAGGGGCCGGTGGGGAGGTGAGCACCCACAGAACCAGCCCCTCACCTTGGCTGCTGTGTGAGGGTACTCTCCGGCAGCCCCCTCCTCCCAGTCCCAGGAATAGCACATCAGCTGGGGGCTGTTCGGGGCGGGCGGGGTGCGACAGGGGGCTTGCCCTGATGCGCAGGGATGGTTCTGGCTGCAGTTTAACACCCGGCTGTCTCCTGCCCTTTCCACCAAAGCGGGGGTTGGCATGGGGGGCCAGTAAAACACCAGTGATCCTTTGTGGTGTTGCAGTCTCCAGGGGAGGCTGTCCTTTGCTGACTCCCGCCACCCTTCTGGCCTCGGGGGGGAGGCAGCGGCCTCTGGGGGCCCCCCCACAGGCTGTGGGGGCAGAGCATGTTGGCCAGGCTGGGGAGCTCCAGAGAGGCACCCAGCAGTGTGCACTGAGGGTCGGTCTGGAGGGCCCCCACCCCTTCCAGCCCGACTCCCCCTCTTCTGCGAGGAGTCCTCCTTCTGAGTCTCTGCAAGGCCCACTCCCACTTGCCCTCCAGGCCCCTGTTTCGAGGTCCTCCTTTTCTGGGCAGTCTTCGCTGGCAGCCCCACCAGAGTCAGGTGCCTCCTTGGGCTACTGCGACTCCCTGCCCCCCGCACCTAGGCCCTTGGGTGAGAACCATCTCCTGGACCAAGAGCCCTCCGGATCTACTGTGTCCGATCCTGTCACCTGCCTCTGGATTGAGGTTCAAATCCAGGCTCCGCCCTTCCCCCCCAGGCCCCAGTTTCCTCAGCTGCAGAGCGGGAACGGTAAGGGGATTTGAGGCTGAAATGCAGCAATGCAGGGCACACCGTATGCTCCCACTGTTTCGCACCCCTTCCCAGCACCTGGCTTGTTGATCAAATGAACAAAAGGGCAGAGATACACAGTGAGCCTGCACTTCCGGCTTGGGGTGGGCGCATCACGGGAGCAGGGAGCTGAGTCAGGGAGGAAGTGGTGGGGACCCCGGGTCACAAGGTCTCATCTGGTGCATCCCCAGGCTCCCTGCTCCAGTGGAGCCCTGCTGCCCTCTGACCGGAGTGCAGGGGCCAGGCCAGGTGTGGGGGATGGCACGCCAGCCCTGCCCAGGCAGCCACATCAGTCAGCCACCTGGGCACTGGGCTGGCCCCACCTGGGCTTCCCTGCAGTCCAGGTGAGGGATGAGTTGTTCGCCACCGAGTGACAAGACCCACATGACAGGTGGCCACTGGGGGCCTGATTCACAGCTTTCTGGGAAGTGAGTTAACGGGATCCCAGAGCCCAGGGCTCAGTCAGGTCTCCTGGCTGAGTCACGGTGGCCCCTGGAGGAAGGAGCCGTTACTGAGCCTCTGGGCAACCCCCTTTTCCCCAAGGCCCTGCGACCTTAGCAAGACCCCATACCCTAGCCTCCAACTGCTGCAGACCCAGGCTTTCCCTTCCCTGCCCAAACTGGGGACCTTTCCTAGTCAATGTCAAGGCCATTGGCCTAGACCTCTGGGTCTGGGTCCTGTTCCTCCAGGGGGTAGATCCTGGGCCCCTAAACCAGAGCCCTGAGTCCACTCCTCCGGGGCAGAGGTAGGGGTCTCCGCTAGAGCCCCCAGTCCCCTTAACGGCTCATTTCCTCCCAGCAGTCCCACCCCTCCTGTGACCTACAGCCCCGGGTGGCAGGGACTGAGCCACTCACTTACTTGGGGGACTGGTCCAACGGCATTCCACCTCCCAGGATAAAACCTGGGGTGACCTGTAGGGAACTCTGCACACTCCTGTCACAGGCAGGACTGCTCTCCCAGCCGTGCCTGGGCCCCCACTGGCTATGGTAGTTTCCAGAACTCCCCCGGCCCAGGGTGGGGGCTGTCTCAGGATCTTAACCCCCCTGCTGCTCCTGGCTTCTGCAGGTGAGTCCTGAGGACTTGCCGCCCCTCCTTCCTCTGCCCCCCAGGGCCACCCCCTCCCTTCTCCCTACTCAGCACCTTCCCACCCTCTCTCCCGGCCCTGCCTGCACCCCGTCTCTGTCCCTCTCCCCCTCGCCTTCTGCGCTTCTTGCTCCCTCTGCCATGTCCTGTGGCTGCCGGCAGGACGGCAGGACGCACTGAGGCAGGCTCTGGGCAGACCTCAACAGCCTCAGCGCTCCCGTTGCTGTCCCCCTCCGCCCCCCTCTCCCTTCTCCCCGCTCCCTCCCTTCCCCCCCCCTCGGGTCCCCACGCTTCTGTTCCAGGCCTTGGGCTTGGGGTTGAGAGGGTCTTGGGCCACAGCCTTGGGTGTTGGGGGGGAGCCTGAGAGGGTCAGGCGTGTGCTCCCTGACTTCTCCGTGAGAGGCGCCCAGGAGCCAGCCGCCCTTCATCCTCTGCCAGGGGGTGGGATGGAGCACACCTGGTGGGAGGGTAAGGCCGCAGCTTAGAGACCGAGCCCGAGGTTTCTGTCAGCCCCGCCCAGGCTCCAGGAAATGCCCCACGATGGGGGTCTGGGGAGTTGCCCTGGACACTGGGGGGGCTCCTCTCCGCTGGCCTGACCCTTCCTTCCCTTGCCCTCAGCCTCCTTCCATGCTGCCGAGATACCTGGTGAGTGGGGCCGCCCTGAGCGGTGGGGGTGGGGGGAGTCTGTGTCTGTCTGGCAGGGGGAGCAGGTCAGAAGGGGCTTTTGGGCAGGAGCAGAAGGCAGGCAGCCAAGGGGGCCTGGAAGGCAGAGTGGAGACTCTTGAGTAGAAGAGGGGCGCAGGGCAGGGCAGCAGCAGGTGAGAGGCGCACAGAGGGAAGGCCAGCCTGAGGGGAGGGCCAGGGAAGAACAGCATGGGGCTGGGTGGGAGGCTTGGACCCTGGGGGTGACAAAACGTGACCCTCCTCCGCCAGCACCCCCAGCCTGTGGGAAGCCCCAGCAGCTGAACCGGATCGTGGGTGGTGAGGACAGCACCGATGCCGAGTGGCCCTGGGTCGTGAGCATCCAGAAGAATGGGACCCACCACTGTGCGGGCTCCCTGCTCACCAGACGCTGGGTGGTCACCGCTGCCCACTGCTTCAAGGGGTATGCACGCCAGTCCTGCGCTTGATACCCCAGGCCTCCTGCCCCGGACCCCAGGCTCCCCACTCAGCCCCAGCCTCCCGCTCTCTGTCCAGTCTCGGGGCCTCTCAGCGAGAGGAGAGACCCTGCTGCTTCTTAGGGGCTTCCATAAGCATGTTGTCCCCCAGACACTCCCTGACCCTTCCCGGCACCACCGCCCCCCCAGGGTTCCTGACTGACCCTACCCCCTTTCCTCTTCCTGCCAGCACTCTGAACAAGCCATCCCAGTTCTCTGTGCTGCTGGGGGCCTGGCAGCTGGGGAACCCTGGCCCGAGGTCCCAGGAGGTGGGTATCGCCTGGGTGCAGTCCCACCCCGTGTACTCCTGGGAAGAGGGCTCCCGTGCGGATATCGCCCTGGTGCGCCTTGAGCACTCCATCCACTTCTCTGAGCGAATCCTGCCCATCTGCCTGCCTGATGCCTCCGTCCGTCTCTCTCCCAACATGCGCTGCTGGATTGCAGGCTGGGGGAGCATCCATGATGGAGGTGCGGCTTCTCCCTTACCGGATGGCCAGGGGTGGCTGGGGACAGAGGCTGGCAGGCTCCCAGAGACACAGTTACAGTGGGCAGCAGAGGGTAGAGGCCAGAGGCATAGCAGAAGGAAAAAGACTCTTCTGACAACAGACACAAAAGAAAAAGTGAACAGCAGCCCAGAGGTGGGAAGTCTCAGAAAGCTAGGTGGACGCTTGTAGGTCTCTTCTAGTTAAAAGGGATCTGTGATGATGTTCTGGGGCAGCAGCAGCCAGATGGATGAGGCTATTAAGGTGATGGAGGAAGGGCTGGAAGGAGCACGTGTGGGGCCGGGCTGACTAGGGGGGAACAGGCACCTCCTGGTGGCAGCGTGCCATAATTGCAGGCGAAATTTCCAGAAGGATGTTGTGAAAATAACATTGTCAGACCAAGTCTGGAAAACATCATCTAGAGACACAAGGCAGATAAAGTAAGAGGCAAAGAAGCAAAAAAAGATGATAGAGAGATAATGGGGGGATGGTTAGGAGGAAAAAGTTTAAGAAAAATGATTAACCACATTTCAAAAGAATTAAGAGAAATGACACCAGGTGCCTGGGGATCCCCCTGACTCCAAGGTTACAGGCAGGGCTCCTTCGAGAACTGGAATTATGGGCTGTCGGGGGGGGGGTCTACAGACCAACCCCAGGGTCTGCAGTCCCCCCAGGGTTTGGGGGACTCCTCAGGTCCTGATAACCTCCAGCATGGGGTGATCATTTATTGAACACTTCCCTGTTCCAGTCCCCGTGCTGGACAAAGTGGTGCCTGAGGCAGGACCAGCTGGGACCAGTGGTTCTAACCATTCTGTGGGCATCAGAAGGCTCTAAAGATTCAGGGTCTCAGGATGCACACTTCTGTTCGGATTCATTAGGTCCAGAGGTGGAGTCTTGGAATTCGGGTTTTCCACAGGCATTTGGGAGAGCCTGACAGAGTTGAGCCATTAGCCTTTGAGAACTGCCTCGGAGGGGGTGTGGAGGGGGCCGTCGGGACATTGAAGAGACGGTTTCCCAAGTCTGACCCTCTGCTCCCTGCCCCCTAGTGCCCCTGCCCCATCCCCAGACCCTGCAGAAGCTGGAGGTTCCCATCATCAACTCAGAAGTCTGCAGCCGCCTGTACTGGCGGGGAGCGGGGCAGCGGGCCATCACCGAGGATATGCTGTGTGCTGGCTACCTGGAGGGGCAGCGAGATGCCTGTCTGGTGAGCACCCCACCTTCTTCCTACCACTGCCGCTGCTCACCTCCCCAAGACAGCTGGGACCTGCGAGTATCCCGGATGCCTACAGAACTGGGCCTCCATCCATCTGACTGTACACCAAACATCTACTGAGTGTCTTGGGTGTGCCGGACCCCACTCTCTGGGAGCTTGCCTTCTCCTGAGGGGGTTCCTGCATCCTGGTCCCCAGAGCCAGCTGCAGCTCCATCACTGTGGTGGTGGACAGCGGGTGCTGTAATGGTCCGCACCCGGGCTCGGACACTGTAAGGTCCTGGTTGCAGTTCCTACTCTGCTACCCAGGATTCCAGTGTGGCTCGGGGGCTGAGTGCGAAGGTGTGGCACAAAGTGCTCCTCACCAGCAGTGAGCCCGAGGGCCTGTCCTCCAGGACAGAGAAATCCGCCCCCTCCCCCCAGGGAACCCCTTGCCACCTGCTGTGTTGGGTCCTGGGCTCTGTCCAGCCCTGAGCCACATGGGTCCCTGACCTTGCCTACTCTCCGCAGGGTGACTCCGGGGGCCCCCTCATGTGCCAGGTCGAGGGCACCTGGCTGCTGGCGGGCATCATCAGCTGGGGCGAGGGCTGTGCGGAGCGTGACCGGCCCGGCGTCTACATCAGCCTGGCTGCCCACCGCTCCTGGGTGATGCGGATCGTGCAGGGAGTGCAGCTCCGCGGGCACTCGCAGGGGAGCGGGCCCGCTCGGGGCGCCGGGCCGTCCCGGGGCCGCGCGCGTTAGAGATCTGGGGAGACTGGCGGCCGCGCGGCCCCGGCAGCCTGACCGTGCGCCCCTCCCGTGCGCCCTTCCCGCCGTTGTAAGTGAGCCACCTGCCTCGGGGGGGCGCCCGCGTGCCGGCACCACCGCCTCGGCTGCGAGGCTCCGCCCCGCCCGCGGGAGCGCCTTTGTTTTCTGTGTGTATATGTCCGTGCTGACGATTTTTACAGTTATTTGTAGCCCTGCCCGCATATCGTATTTATTACAATTTCAATAAATTGTTTATTCCCCCGTTACTGTTTTTCCAGGTATGGGGATATTGGGAGGCGGGGGGACACTTGGGATTAAAATGGGGGCAGGTGGGTGTGAGTTTGTCTGAGGGTCCCGCTAGGGACCTAGCCGTCCTGTGCACCTGTGTTTCGGCATTACGACCCCTGGCCTTTGCACTTCTTTCCTATGCCCCCCTCCCACCGGGAGGCCACATAGAGAGGAGGCAGGAGGCCCCAACCTGCCTGTTGGGTTTCCCAAACTGGGCTAGCTAGGAGAAACCCGCCCATATGAGAGTAGGGTATCTCCTCCCTCCCCACCCTGAGAATCAGGTCTCCCAGATTCAGGCTGAGGCAGCCAAGTCCTCTGCACCCCCAGGAGCTGACGCAGGAGTGACTCACTGCTGATTCTGTGAGTTGTCCTGCAAGGACAGAGCAAAACAATGAGATGGCAGGTCTCTGGGCCTGCCATGCGATGGGCTTGAGTCACCTGGCCTGGGCCCACAGCGGGTGGGAGCCAGTCCCAGGCGACGAACGGGTCTGCCAGTTAACAGCCCCCTTCCCCCAGGACTGCCCCCCTCCTCTGCAGCCCCCTGGACCTGCCCCTCCAGCCCCCCCACATCTGGGACGCCGTCCTCGCCCACCTGGGGTTCCCTGCAACTGGTGCAATGTGCGGACTGAGGGCTCTGTGGTTGGTTTCAGGAATCTGTGAACCTGATGGTGCTTCAATCAAAGAGATTGGTTCTAAAAGAAAGTGAAGAAAACAACTAGGTCCAGTCACGCTGAAGGACTGCTTACAAAGTGTCTCCAACTAGAAATTGTCCATGAAGCGAGTTTTTGAGAAGGCGGCACGGGGTTTTGGCTGGCTGACTGTTTGGCACCCTTTATGGGGAGTAGCTTCTGAAACATTTGCTCGTGTTGTTTTGATCACCCTTGTGTCGTTATCAGATCACGGAAGATGGCTTGGGGTTGGTTTTATAAAACAACAAACACCACACTGGCCTCCTGCCCACCTGGGGACCAGCCTGGGGAGGGAGCGGTGACTCAGTGAGCGCCACATCCAAATCCTGGCTCTCTCCTTCCGACTGAGGCCCCCCCTCACCTGCCACTCCCCCTCCCCCCACCCACCTTCAGCCCCCACTCCCCAGCCTGCGGCTCTGCCTCCTCCCTCTGTCCTCCAAGATCTGCCAGGGTGGTGGTGGTGATGTTGCCAGGACACTCGGGTGGGACGGGTTCTCTCTGAGTTGGGCGGTGGGCCTCCAGGGAGCCCCCGAGCGCACCCTCCTGGAGGAGGCTGAGGGCAGGCTGGGCCCCAGAGTGGGGAACAGGCACCCGGGTCCCCACCACGACAGGATATGTAATGACCCCTTCATCAGGGCTGCGGGGTCCACGAGGTGGTGAGGGAGTCAGCCCAGCACCAGCAGAGAAGCCCCTTTGCTCCAGGGTTGGAGCTGGGCCCAGGGACACACCCTAAATCTGGACCCCTCCGGGTGGGGCACTCATTGCTTTGGTTCCATGGACACCACCTGCCTCTGGGGACCATAGACCCCCTGGGCCTGCTGGCGGTCTCCTCAGGAGAAGTCCCAGGGGCCCATTGGGCAGGTGTCTCCACCCGCTGCAGCCTCCCACACGGAACAGCCCTTCTCAGAGCTCCCCTGGCTTCCCCAAGGTGACAAGTGTCATTCCAGCACGAGCTGCCTTAGCTGCAGGCTACTTGGTCTGTCCCTCCACATGCTCTCTCCTCAGATCTTTAACCCTTGAGGAGACGTCCACCCCCACGCCTGGGACTCCACAGCACTGCCCCCGCGTCCAGAGCAAGTGAGCACACACACACACTGAGCCCAGCTCTTCTGCGGTGGCAACCTCCTGTGCCTGGTAAGCCCACGCCCCTCCCATGCTTCCTCCGCCGTCGAGACTGGAAAAGTGAAACGCTCATTTCCACAATTTCCCGCAGAGTCGCAAGAGCCTGCGGGACTGAGTGTTGGCCTAGGAGAGGGAAGCAGATGTCTGGTGGGTGGTTTCTTGGGAAGACAGCTTTTTCCTGATAAAAGGGACCTATTCAGCTGGCATCCTTTCCCATCCTCTACCTTCTTCTAGTCTTGGATGTCGATGTGATGCTTAAACATCAGCAGCCATCTTATCACCATGAGGTGACAAGCTGCTGGGCCGAATGACAGCAAAGCTTCAGGAGGTGTGGGTGTGAGGACGTGGCGGGCCCACTATCCAGTCTCCAACAGCTGCCTCCCTCCACGTGTCTGTGCTTCTAAGCCGCTGTTCGTTGATCTTTTATTTGCAGCTGATTGCATTCCTAACTGATATACCTGTTTCAAACCCTCTGTTTTAGAATAGTTTTAGATTTATAGAAAATTTTTTGTTTTTTTAACAGAAAACTTTTTGTTATTGTGAAAGCGGTCATGTCAGATTTCATCAATCACACACGTTAGGGTTTTTTTTCAAAGATTTTATTTTCATTTTTAATTACTTTTTAAAAATATTTTAGTTGAGAGAGAGAGCATGAGTGGAGGGGAGGGGCAGGGGGAGAGGGAGAAGCAGGCCCCCACCCCGGGCAATGAGCCTGATGTGGGATTGGATCCCAGGACCCCGGATTCATGTCCTGAGCGGAAGGCAGACGCTTAACTGACTGAGCCACCTAGGCGCCCCAAGATTTTATTTTTAAGTAATCTCTACGTTCAACGTGGGGCTCGAACTCACAACCCTGAGATCAAGAGTTGCACAGTCCACCAACTGAGCTGGCTAGGCGCCCTGCACATTTGAATTATCCAAAGTTCAAAGGCTTTGAGCTCATACCTGCCCACAAGAATTCTGGACCTGCAGAGGGTCCCCCCACTTAGCTTCAGGGGTCCCCAGGATATAAGAATTATCCAAGAATAAGTCTTTTCCTTGTCTCTCTTTCCTGCTTCAAGTCTCATCAATGCTGCCTCCCACCAAGGCACCGGAAGGAGTCTCACCGTTGCCCCGGCTGATGGTGCCCTGGCGAGCTCACCAGCGTCCATGCCAAGTGCACCCTCCCCAAGTTCCCCAGATGGCCCTGGCAGTCTGGGGTTCCACATAGAGGAGGAGAGAATGGCCTCTCCCAGGTCCGAGCTGCATCTTGCCCCCTGCACCCAGGTGGTTGCGCTCAGAAGGTCACAAGGTTGCTCGTGGACACGTCCCCTCGGGCCGTGTGTCTGATTTCCTGTCAGTCATGCATAGGCAAGCCAGGACAAATGAGTTTTCAGAGGCTCAGCACTCTCCAACCTTACGGAGAGGGTCATCCCTTTCACAGAGCAAAGTCTGCTTTGTGGGCTCCTCCTGGTCCCCCAGCATTTGCACGATGGCCACTGCCATGCTTCCACCCTTCTTCACCTGCGGGCGCTCACACCTGGTTTGTACCCCTGGTTTCAGAGCTCCACGACCATCCATACAGGTGACTCCCTGAGCTCTCCCCGAACAGCCCCTGGGCCCCTCGACCTTACCGAGACCCCAAGTGAATCCTATTATCCCCTCTGTCAGAATTTCCCAACCCAGCAAAAGGCAGGAGCCCATCCTTCCAACAGCTCAGTGTGAAAACCCCGGAGGACGGACACCCCCATGTGCTGGCCAGGGCCCCGGGCGCCAGTGGGAACACAGCGTGGGGCGGCCTCTGCGCAAACCCGGGCGGCTGTTTCCCGTGCAGCTGAACTTCCCCGCAGCCACCGACTCCTAAAATTTACCCAAGAGGGAAGAAAACCTACAGGGACCCTGCACGCAGACATTTATAGCAGCTTTATTCCGAATCGGCAAACCCTGGAAACCCACGTGCCCTCCGGCTGGCAGTTGGGAAAACACACTGTAGGGCGCCCGTTCGGGAGAATTCTGCTCAGCAAGCGAGAGGAGCAGACGGCACACAAGGCCCACGGACGCCCAGTGCAGCACGCTGGGGGGACCAGCCAGGCTCCGGAGCCACAGAGACAGAGCAGATGGGTGGCTGCCGCAGGCTGTGCTGGGGGAGCTCGCGGTCACTGAATTTTCCTGTGTGTAATTACACCTCCATCAAAATGATTTAAAAACAACACAAACATGTGGAGGCCTCCTTGCCTCCTCGCCTTCCCTCATGGTCTACATTCAAGCCATCAGCAGACCTGTCGGTTTTACTGTGTCTTGGAAATATGTCCAGATGTGTCCACTTGTTCCTATGCCGGGCCCAGCTGCCCTCCACACGATCCTGCATTTCAGCAGTGGCCTCCTCGTGGGGCTCCCTGCTTCTGCTCTTGCTTCAGCAGCCTCCTCTCCACTCAGCCGCAAGACTGGCTCTCTCCAAACCTAAGTAATGCGGTCACACTCCCATTCAGAGCTCTCTGATGGCTCCTCACTTTACTCAGAGGGAATGACGTCATCCTTCTGGCCTCCCCGCCCCCTCCCCCTCCTTGCTGGGGAGCTGCAGCCGCAGGGCTCCCAGCTGTGCTCTGGAACACCACAGGCATGCTCCTGCCTCAGGGCCTTTGCACCTGCAGCCTCCTCTTCTGCCACATGACTGCAGGCTCCTGCCCCCACTTCCTAGGGAACTGCACTCAGGTGCCAAGTCACCATCCTGTTTACAAGAGCAGTGTTCCCTCCCTCCCCTTTTGCTTCTTTCTTTGCTCTCTTTTTTCCAGGACGTTTATTACTATTTAACATACTACGTTGCAGGGTGTTTCAGTCACCCCAAAATCCTCCCTGTGCCCCTTCCTGGTCAGCTCCCCTGTCCCACCTCCCGGTCCCCAAGTGACCACTGATCTGCCTTCTGTCCTTCCTAGCATTTTAGGTAAATGGAATCATCCAGCATGTGCTCTCTTGTACCGGGCTTCTTCAGCCTCAGTGGGATGTCTTGGGGGCCACCCAGGCTGTGGCGTGTCTTCACTGCCTGTGGTGTTCCTGTGTTCCTGGGAGACCGCAACGCTGAGAGCCTTCACCCATTCTCATGCTGATGGGCATTCGGGTTGTTTCTGGGTTTTGGCTGTTACCCATCAAGTTGCTGTGAACACTTGGAAGTTTTTATGTGGACATGTTTT